CAGGAGAAAGCGTTCATCAATGGGAGGGAAAGATAAGAGGGGGAAGCCGTTATGGGAAAGCAGTATGCAAGAAGTGGTTGTTTAGTATGCTTACTGAGCGTAAGACTTCTCCACCTGACCCAAAAATTCGCATATATATATATATATATATATATGTATATGGGAGGAACAACCTTCACTTCACCGCAGCGAAGGGAAGGATGGTCACTGAAATAGAGGTGGACCAACAGTATTCAGAAACAGTTTCATTGGTTGAGGTAGAGTTCATCAGTCTTCCAATTCGGAATTTCGTTAGTGAATGATGAATGGTGCTACGTCTTGTCGTAGTGAGAGCTAATCACACTGCTGATCAGCTACTATTGACTGAACACTTGAGCGTTCAACCACTAGCTAGACGGTTGCGGGTTCGAAACTCTGAGTTTTGTGAGACGTGCAGTGCTGATGATTCCAAACGAGGATGAAAAGGCTGCAGTGTTTCTTGGTTTTTCAGCATTATTGTAAGCTCAAATTAAATCAGAAAACACGTAGGTACTGCGCACACGCGGCCAAACAGGTCCACCTTGTAACGGCTAAGCAAACAACTGAGTTACATGTCCAGCTATCCCACAAACAGTTCTCTGATGTATTGAAGGATAGACATACAGGCGTGGAAATCGCTTGGACACGCACCTCATCAGCCACTAAAGCCACACGCCAGATCGGTGGTGAACGGACAAACGGACAAGCATACGTGCAACCTCTCTGACACAACGAAGCGGCTACTACAAGCATGGACCGGCTTCACCAACAGGATGAAAACTTCACTGAATATGACCATAAGCTTACATCTGCTTTTCAGTTGAGCAAGAGAAAACAGCAGATTTCCTGACAAAATACGGATAATATTATATCTAGCATTCGACCTAATTTGTGGCTACCCATTTGGTCAGTCAAGTAAAATGGACTTCCCATTTGTCTGAGTCACGTTCTACGAATACTTTTTCGTCTGGTGTGCCGTTAATTAGACCCACATAAGTTTCCTGTGTACGTCAAAAGTACGTTATTCGAAACACAGTACTCATTCAGTCTGAAAGCCCTGTGAACCAGCTACCACTTAATTACGACCGTACGATTGTACACGTCAACAACAATGCCTGTTTATACGTCCGAAATACAGCCGAATTCCTGGGACGAAGTGTATATTTTTCGAATACGTAACAGTAACGGAGTACTGTACCGGGATCATCACAGATTCTACAGTCTGAAACAAGGGAAGAGCTGACTTAGGTTCCGGGACAAATTTAGGTGTAGAATGAGAAAAAGCGAGAAATCGGTGTAAGATGTACTACTCACACAATCATAGAGAATAATCTTTTAACCGAACTTATGGAGTGCAGAAGCCAACAACGTATCCGGTGCTATTTCACCATCAGACTATCAAAAGTGAGCATACAGCCTCCAAGATATATTCAGTGACCGACAACAGCTCAACGCTACGGTTCGCAAAATGGATACGGGAAGAAACAAATGTACTTCAGACACCCACTGATAGTTAAGAGATGGCTTTGAGATCCACACAATAGTGGTCTGTTCTCGAGTCGATGTAGAAAGATCGGTTTAGAGGAAGAATACTTTCACACCAGCGAAACTTTCATCTGAGAAGTCACCGCTTAAGGAACCAGTCAATACATGGCTACATGATGTGGACCCTTTGATTAAAGGATAGGTGGTGCTATATCCCATCTGTGTGAGAGCGAATCTCATTGCTGTTCAGCCATTCGCGGCAGGGTTCAACCACTGGCCAGAAGGTCACGGGTTCGAAACCCTGAGCTTTGTGAGGTGCATACTGCCAATGATTCCCAATAAGGATGAAACAGCAGCACAGCGCCTTTCGGTTCATAGCTGCTTGTAACAACAGACAACACACTGAAGCGGAAGCGTGGAAAAAGCCATCGACATACGTCATTGTGAAGTTTTGAGGCACTCCAATTTCTACGCCATATGCTCTTCCTGTCCTAACTAGAAAGATACAGGGTGTCATTTGGAAATAGACCTACTCCAGTCGTAATGCCGCCCAGAGCCCAAAATACTACACACAGCATACTTTCAGCCGACAAAAACAGTGATAGTTGGCCGATGCTGAGGACGAAGGCCGTAGTACGAGGAAACGGAAAACTTGAAGAAAAAAGAAGCAAAACGCAGAACGAGTATAAAACGGCGAAAACAGAGAGGGAGAACGCGGAAGAGGCAATTAGATTCCGGTTCGAGGTGACCAATATTTTCCAACTACTGTTCGCGGAAGAAGTGTTCCTTCAGCTTGTAAGCAGAAACAGTGATCTCCACGACGTAGTGAACATTTTCACTAACTAATGGTCTCAACAACAGGACTGCTTAACAGTAGAAAAGATGACGGATCTGATATCCACATCATTGAGAAGCCTTCTCCTCATGCCCTAATTCCTGAAGACAGACAAAATATACGGGCTGCGAGACACCAATATTCGGGACGAATTTCATCGGTTGCGGATGTAGGGCATTGTGTAGACGTAGCGCACTACTCATAACGTTGCTGAAAACTCTTTGACAGCCCACGGTCGGTATGCAGATGAGTGCACCAGTCAAATTTAGAACATTAATCACTTGCACATTTAAGTCACGTCATTCGGCACTGAGTTCCGCTGTAAGACACTCATGAGAGTAAATGCGAATCAGAATGGTCCTCCAGCGACTAAGCATAGTTGAGGCGAAGAGCACGCACATTCAGAAACTCGGTTAAGGAGCAGTATTTCAAGCCCAGATATCTTCCTACCCAGGCTACGTGTGAATAGACCCGACATTTCAAGAGCTATCAAATCCCCCTACTTTCCAACAGTTCACATTAATTTGACCGATGTAAGGCGTTGGGTGTAGAGGAGAGTTAAAAGCTTCAACACTCAACCCAACGTATCACAAAAACAAGGCAGCATAGAGCAAATGACCACATAGAGGACGCAATTCAAGAAATGGGGATGTTAAGTGGAATAGACACTCACTCGAATCTACACCGAAACTGGTCTGGATCGTGTCGGACAACAATTTGTTGAAAGACGCCAAGTGCTTCTCTATACATTTGAGTTCGGCCGATTTTTGGTCCAAAAGGGTGCTACAGGCGTTAAGCTAGAGAATGTGGTAAAGGAAGACAAAATATCATGATCAAGTTCACCGAACTTCAACGAAGTAGCAGAGGAGAAGACCTGCTGTGAAGTACAGTAATCGACGTTCAATGGAAGACCTTCTGTTCGGAAATTCACCACGCAAGGAGAAAGTGAGGCAGACTATTCAGAAAGATAGGCGATTAACAGGAGGTTCCGAGAGGCCGCTGATCCTATAAAAGTGGTTGTAGCCTCATTTTCATCATATATATGACGGGTTGCGTACCTCCATAATTCATCGAGCTAAGCTGGAAAACGCTCGCGTGATAGCCCCAATCCACGTTTGAAATAAAAATAACGTGGACACAACCACCAAGTACACCTTCAAGACTAGATCATTCAATCGCTTGACTCACTCAATACATGCATCAACGATTATTCTAATTACACCGCGGGGGTGATCGTGCGGATTATGGTGCCGGATGAAGAGCATCCACAACACCACTGACCACAGTTTACACACAAGCATGCTTCAATTAACTTCTGTAAAACGGATAGAATATGGCTAGGGACTAGTACTAGGTTGCTTTCTAAGACAACCTTTCCTCCATTGAAGCGTCTGTTACATGGGACACTTACTGATTACGGTAACACTTAATGGCCAGACAGTTTTCATTAGCTGTCTCTCGTCAACACAACATACGTTATAAAGTCAGCAATCAGACTTACTGTTACCAGGCGTTTTGTATAGGTATCTATACGAGCTTCAACCAAATGTGCTTTCTTTTCGGAATACGTCAACTGACACCGGTCCTCCTCGAGGACAACATTCGGATCAACAGATAGTAAGTCACCGACGAGGTATTTCTAAAAGCGGAACGAATCGTAAAACTAATCAAATCTTACATCAAACTCGTCGAACAGATAATCTTGTTGGAGTTGCAGCTTGTACTTGCACACATTCAACAACTTTTCCACACGGGACGGATCCAGTTTGGTTTGGTACTGGGTGAAGTCGACAGTTAGAACGGAGAGAGCCGGAGAAACCTACCCGCTCCAGTAGTTTCTCTCCAAAGTCATCAATCATTCGACCCAGATTATCATTGACAACATTGTAGACTTAATGGGAAACAATGTTATGAGCATGAATAAAAACATACTATCATCGGATAGCTGTAGTGGCGCGAAACCAAGAATCCTAGTCGCTGGTTCCTGGGCAACTTCGATGGAGATCGTGTTAGAATCTTCTTCCTTGTCCGTCATAAAGCGTTTCGCTGTGGATTGTAGAAACAAAAAAATCAGAGGGAGAATTCCTCGTCTAGAACTACGGCACAACTGATTCGGTCTACATTATCTTCATCACCACCAATGGTATCGAAGACCAGGTGAACTGTTCTTGGAAGTGCTCATCCCACCTCTCAAGACGGTATCTGAAGGAGTGAATTGCTGTTTCTCGGCATATTGTCTTACTAACATCTGCCCTATTTTGACCGGTTGATAGAATCACTTGAAAAGGTGGGAGGGAAGCCTTGTCTCAAAACACTCCCGACCTAAAGCTGCCACCTTGACGTGGTGGTCCGGCAATGATCCTGCGGGCTAAACTGGTTGGAAAGTCGTTCCACAAGGTGCAACCATGCAAGGAAGGCCAAAGGGGAGCAGCCAGACCCCGTACTACGAGTAGTCGTGCTACGAGGCGGTCTGGGGGTAAAGTCGTACTGTCCTCTGTGGTGGTGTTCAGCTGTAGCACCCTGCCTAGCTGCAATGCCACCTGAAGGAAGCACGAGGGCTGGGATACTGCCAGGTTGCCTAAGCCTAGATAGGGGAAGTCGAGAGGCGGAGGTCGAATTCGAACCATGGACCTTTCGGTCAGTAAATTCGCGCTCTAACCACTTGTGCCATCTCGCCCCCACTGTCCTCTGTGACAGGAGTGTGAAGGCAGTAAGGTGTTCCCACAGGTGACCAGCATGTCCATATTTATGGAAGCACCGGTGCTGCCTTTCCCCGAGGAAGGACGGGTCAGAAAAGGTCGGCCCAAAAAATCGCACATTCCGATCGCCCAGCGATTGATCGTGACAGCCAGCGCATTATCCAGTACGGTCGGAACACTTTTAATACAAAGTGCCCGGTGTTGCTTAGAAGGCATCTGCTGTACCCAGCCGCATCAGAAATGAGACAGTAATGCCTTATTCCCTGCGCCCTCGGGTTAGGCCAACCCCCTGCAGCCGAGCAGGTCAGACCGTTGAGTCAACTGCTCCGGGAAGAGTCCCCGAAGAAAACCCTTCTGTCCGCTGCCTCGTGGGTCAGACTTTTGAGTCAGAGGCAGAGTCCCCGAACAAAACCCTACGTCCTCCCACTGCCTTGTGGGTCCGACTTTTGAGTTAAAAGCTCAAGGTGGGGTACCTCAATCAAACCCCCTTCCTCGGCCTGGGCAACCGGGAAGCATCATTTGCCAGTGCAGTTCGGTGTCCACCTATGTCCCTCCCCAACACCTTCCCACCACACAAACAAACGTCACTGGGCCATTTGACTGACCGAAGGGCTTTATGCTCCTCGCTGCTTACTAACAACAAACAAAATAACACCCTTCTAAATCCACGAGATCCTTTCCATATAGGGGCTCTCAACGTCCGTAATCTATGTCAACTTGACAAACAAGCAATACTTGCAGAGACCTTATACTCCCCTAAAATTGATGTATGCTGTGTCTCCGAAACACGCATAGAAGATCCGACCGTGGTTATGCATCTCGGAACGCCAAGAATGAAGTCAGCTCTTTCACATTTCTCCCTCCGTGTGTCCGGTGACCCAGAAGCGATGACTCGTGGAATATATGGCGTGGAAGTTGCACTCAGTCCCAGAGCTGAACGCGCTTCGCTGGGTTGGATCCCAGTGAACAGTCGTCTTTGCGCCGTCCAGCTATCTAGATAACTGGACGGTGCTATGCCTCTCGGCATAAAAAGCGATGCCTGTTTGTAGTGTCGGCTTATGCCCCAACGGGCTGCAGTTCTGAGGCGGAGAAGGATACTTTTTATCGAGAGCTATCCGGGCTCATTGGCCATGCAAAATGCGCTGACATTGTGATCCTTACAGGCGATCTGGATGCTCAAGTAGGTCCACTGAGCTCCTTCGAATCACATCTAGGTAGTCGATTCGGAGTCGATTCTCACCGCGCAGACAACGGAGATAGACTCATCCAATTGTGTGCTGATCATGAACTGTTTCTAGCAAGTACGAACTTTCCACATTAACGTTCGCACCGCGTAACCTGGCGGCCACAAACAGCAAATCAACCATGGACCCAGTTATACCATGTGGCCACTAGCCACCATTGCAGAACCATAATTCAAGATTGCCGTTCCTTCTGGGGCACACCACTTGATTCTGACCACGTCATGGTGCGTTCACGCTTGACAGTTCGTTTTCCTTCAGGCCCTCGCAAGTCAGCATGCCAACCCACTGTCTTCGAAGAACTACCATGGCTCAACAGTATCGATTCGAGCTAGCCCAACGACTCTCCACAGTATACAAATATTATGGTGACATTGAGCATGTGGATGAAGCGTGGCAAAATGTGAAAGGAGCTACGTTAGCGGCGTTCAGTGCTGCCTGCCCGACTTCTCCGATTCGAACACAAGACCACTGGAGGTCGTCGAGGTCGCTATCCATGATTGCTGCCAGGAAAGCCATACCAGAAGGCAACGTGTTCGACGGCGCACGCAAATCCGTCAAACGCCAAATAGTGAAGAGTCTAAGAAAAGACCGAGAGCTCTGGTGGACATCGAAAGCTCGAGAGATGGCTACGAGAAACTGCCGTGCCCTATATCAACTGATGCGATCAACTGGCCCTAGGAAAGCAACGGTCAGCGAAACGATAAGTGAAAAAGATGGCTCGTTAATTCACTCGCAAAAACGTCGACTGGGAAGATGGGCCAAACACTTGAAGAACAGCTTGGATGGCCTCCTGCACACGGGCGAATGGAATATAAACAATGGTCGTCTGTCGGAAGAAATAAGGTACGAAATAGCCCTACTAAAACGTGAGAAGGCACCAGGACCGGATGGTCTGTATCCATCCCTCTTCAAAGAAGGCGGAGAATCCCTGGTGACCCATCTGACAAGGCTTATTAGTACCATATAGGACGGAGAGAAGGTGCCTGCAGAATGGGGCATGTCGACGGTTATCCCTACCTTCAAAAAGGTAGGGACGCTGTGTGAAAATCACTGTGGCATCAGCCTGTTAGCTGTGGCATCGAAGATACTCTCAGGCCCTATCCTTTGAAGGTTGACTGAACACAGGGAAAGGCAGACCCGTGAAAACCAAGCTGGATTCCGTCCTGCGAGAGGTTGCATCGATCATATCTTCACCCTCTGACAGATTCTGGAACAGCGACACTACTTCCAGTGGCCAACAATGATCGTGTTTCTTGATCTGAAAGCTGTCTTTGACTCTATGGACCATCAGGCACCACTCCAGTGTCTGTGGAGCAAAGGTGTCCGCCATAAATTCTTGATCCTCCTTAAGGCGCTGTGCGCCAACTCCCGCGGCCGTTTGAAGGTTCTACGGGAAACTCTCGCCTGGGTGCACCACATTAGGTGGTGTCCGACAGGGCTGTCCTCTTCCACCTTTCCTCTTCAACTTCGTCACTGATGCGATCATGGAAGGCTCACTACCAGCCTCTAATACCTGTGGGGTCGAAGTTCTCCCGGGGCGTCCGCTCACAGATATCGAGTACGCAGACGACATAGCTCTTCTAGGATCTGACCCTGTGGTAATGGAAACAATACTAAATAATCTAAATAATTCTGCCTCACGGTTAGGCATGCGCTACACACCTGCAAAGTGTAAAGTGCTACTGCAAGACTGGGTGGACTGGAATCCTAAACTCATGCTTGAGGATGAACTGATTGAGGTAGTAGACAAATTCGTTTAACTGGACAGCTGTATCAGTCCCGGTAGTCTCGTGAAAGATATTTTCATCCGGATTGGGAAGGCCACAACAGCTTTTGTGAACCTGCGTCATCTGTAGCGTATGCATGACATCAGCTCATTCGTCAACCGTCGAGTTTATAATGCTGCGGTGCGCTCCATATTACTATACGGATCACAAACCTGGCCGCTGCGCGCCGAGGACATCGAAAGACTTTCAGTGTTTGACCATCGATGTTTTCGAAGCATTGCCCGGATCTGGTGGGAACACCGGATCAGCAGTGCTGAAGTTCGTCGAACGGTATTCGGGAGAAATAACCCACCCCCGATAGATGAACTGATAACACTGCATTGGTCGCGCTGGCTTGGCCACTTGATGCGTGTGACAGTCGACCGACCTCATCGAAGAGCTCTTTTCGTACAACTACGTGAAGGGTGGGAGAGAGCCAGAGGCAGTCAAACAGTGACTTGGCAGTGAAGTATAAAGGTCATTGCCATCTTCATGCATGGGGACCTCAAGACGGGCCATATCAATGGGTAGAGACATTGTCAGACATGGCCCCGTCGCACCCTCAATGGCGCTCATGCATCCAAGCTGTTGCCTTCAATGCATAGCTCCCTTCCCAATACCCCCACTTAACAGTCCACCTACAGTGCTGTATTTACGCAGTAATTTATCAGCTATCGCCTCCAATGCACAGCTACCTAAGAATAATCGGTGAACGAAACTGTGGCAGCTACAACTGTACGACAAGTATGCGGTTATTACAGCTGAGAAAGGCCGTTACAAAGAGACTGGACCTTACCGTGGTGTGACGGTTTGCGCACCTCAGCGATCCATTGAGCTATACTGGAGAGTGTCCCGCGACACTCACAGAGGCTTTCACACCAGGTTGGTCAATGGTTAGAGGTCTGACAAACACAGTCTCCTGGCCCTCCAGGTTGGGGTTTGGAACATGTGGCGACTTGTTCCGTAGAAATGGTAATGCATTTGCATTTCCCGCCAAACACCGCTGCCTTGCGGTTAGGCTTTTGAGCCAAAGGCTTTGGTTGAGGACCCCAATCGTCCTCCTGTCTACGTGTGGGCGCCCTGGCAGTATCCCAGCCCACGTACAACCATGAATCGCACAGCTGAGAATGATGATGATGATGTCTCGAAACACTGGACGTGGGGAATTCAGACGAAAGCTTGCCGTATACTCGTACGCGCATCCTTTCAACCCATGAAACGGAGATACCGAAATGACTGAATAACTCGAAAGACCCAATCTGGATGTATCCAAGGTTGACTGGTTGGTGTAGTTCGTACAAGAGTGTGGTCAGGCTATGGGTTTCA